TGTCTTACTAAGGTGAAGGGAATCTTGACTTGCCTCTCCACTGCTGTCATATTTATATATTTTCTCCAAATTTGTTCAACCATAGCCTTTGTAGAATAATGCATACAGATAAAAACACAAACACATTGATAATTTTAAAAGCAAAATTCTCTTCTAGTCAGTTTTTTTAATAAGGAAGATCATTTAAATTCTGACATACATTTGTGTTTTCTTTTCTACTGAATTGTCACTGTTTCAAAATCTAGATTTCAGTTGGATTCCTTAATACCATGATTGAAGAGTGTTAATGGTTTTTATCCAAAATGACCTCCAAAGCCTCATGTACTTGGAAGGTAATTGAATTTGGGGACAGCATAGATGACTTTCTGTTAAGAGGTGGGGTCTGTTCATGGGGAGCATGACCCAGAAGGCTACATCCCCCTCCCCAGCTCCTCTCTTCTGCTTCCTGGCTGCCATAAGGTGAGCAGCTTTCCTCTATGAGACTCTTCTGCCATGACACTTCTGTCTAGAGCCAACCAGACATGTAAGGACTAAAACTTATACAATGTAAGCCAAAATAAACCTCTCCTTTGTTAATTTTTAAGTGTTGGCTATTTTGGCCCATCTATGAGAATGTAACTAAGACAAAGAGCATTGTATTCTTTTGGGCCACTTGAGGTTATTCCACTAGCTACTCTTCATTTGAGCTGTCATTGTCATACAATAGTATTTATTGGAGTAATTTGCAGCAAATACTGTGACATTTTTAGGAAACATGCAAAATTATGATTTCAAAATAGCTATATTGGCTTTGCCAGAAAGAAACCCTGCAACCTTACCCATGCCCACAATACAGGCACAGACCGTTCTCGTTTGTTCATATATGCGGCTCAGTGGGCAGAGGAGCCAGCCAGACTTCTTGGCAATCCTGGCAACAAGAGAAACCAAAAAACATACCCAGCAGCTGCTTCCTTTTTTAATAGCTGGAATTTGAACATCTATTCATCTCTTTAGAGCTGTTATTCTGCCAGACAGAAGTTTGATATCCATGATAAGTTGAAGATTTTGAAAGCAAATAATTTAGCTTCATTTTTGCAATGTCAAGAAATTAATGTAAAATTCTATTGATATCAGGACTGAAGAGCTAATGTACTGCTGGAAATGAGTTCAGAACAAGATGGTAATTAAATTCACTATATTAACAGAGGTAAAACTCATTGAAAATGAATAGTGGGGTAAATTAATACCAGCTATGAGTTCATAATTGTATATGTATTGTGCCCACAGCAGTAAAGTTTTAGAAAAATTCTGTGTACATACACATCTTCAACCTGGAGACAACTTCCAATGAAAGTATTACTAGTTAGATTTAGAATTTGAGCATGTATTTTGAAAGTATAACATTAAAAAAGGAATGAATTTGTGTTGGGATAGAGTTTTGATTCATCCAGAAAGGAAAGACTCTTGTTTTCAATCTACTGAGTCAGTACTCGTCGGCAATGGTATGTTGCCCCGTGCACAGTGGGCAATAGATGACTACTGATGTTAAGGAGATGACATAGTGTTGTGGAGACAGGACGCACACACAGGACTACAAAGCAAAGCAGTGTGCTATGAGTGGCAGAAAAGGGAAAAGCAAAAATGTTTTTAAAAGCTTAAAGGGAGTAGAAGCCAGAGGATTTGTGAAAGAGGTTTTGTTGTAGGTCTTAAATGATGGATGTAAGAGCTAAAGATGGGGATGGCATGGGGATCTCTGATAGTTGGGAAAAAGAGTTCCTGTGGTTTGTAAAATAGTGTCTTCTCTGTGTTCACATGGAAGCCATACGCGCATCTACTGCAGTATTTATTATAATTGGTTATGGTGGTCTCTGTCTTCGTCCTTAGACTGTGGTTTCCTGAAGGGCAATTAATATCAATTCTATCCTCGTTATTTGCAGATTCTGTGTTGATGAACTGTGTACTCAGTGTCATTTGTGAATAAAGTTCACAAATGCACTTTCACTGTCATTCATGGACCTCTGAGAGCAGTGAGCAGTTTTTAGTCACTCAGTGCCATACGTTTCCAGCTGAGGACAGAAGATTGGACACCTACTTTGTTGGTTCATCGCTCACCTAGAAAACAGGTGTTGTTTTTGCAGTCTGTTTAGTGCCACGTGTTTTGCAGTTTTGTGCTCAAGTTGGTGATTTTACTGTTTCAGATGGCCCCAAAACACTGTCCTAAAGTGCTATCCAGTATTCCCAAGTGCCAGAAGACTGTGGTGTGCCTTTCCCAGAAAACATTTTGGTTGGATGAGCTTTGTTCAGGCGTGAGTTATTGTGCTATTGGCCATAAGTTTGATGCTAATGATTCAACATCTATTAAATAAGGTGTCTTTAAACAGTAACATACATAAAAGAAGGCTACATATTGATTGATTGATGAGAGTGTTCAGACCAGATGCCCACAGGAAGAAAATTTGCTTCTAGGAACCAAGATTCAATATTTGCTCATTTAGGGTTTTTACTGGCACCATAGGACATAAGTACCGTAGTAACAAATACCCTGGTAATATGTACCCTGCTATTTCTGCATGCCTAAAATTCAGTTTAGCAAATGGCCACGGAGTTTTATGAGCTATTGCTTGAATATTGGGAATTTGAAGGAATAAATCAGCTTCCCAAAATATTTGAATACAGGCTTGTGTTGCATAGGGAATAGGAAGCCATTGGAGATGTTTCTGTCCTGGGGGTGATCTTTTGGTTGTAAATTGTTCAACAGGCATCAGTTAAATACACTAGGTTATGTTGTGGATAGAATAAAGATTGCTGGGTCCCTGCTCGTAAGGAGGTGCTATAGATGGAAGCTCTAAAAATTTCTTTAGGAAGATTTATTTTGCAGTAGTGTATGGTTGGAAAAAGAGAGAAACTGAAGACACAAAACTGAATAATGCAGGTCTGAAGCTATCCAGATATGATATAATAGTGGCCAGGATTAAGGTGTTGGCATTGGAGAAGGGATGTAGAGGGCGATACTTGAAATGTTGTGGAGTGAAAAATCAGTAGTGAGTGATTTCAGTTAGTGCATGGGGAGATGAAATGGCCAAAACTAAACTCAGAAGTCTGCTGCCCCTGACTTTCTTAGTTTCTGTGTTTGAAAACATTTTTCAATAGTTTTCCTCTTATCAGATTATTACTGTGTCTTATGTTGAATCTTTTAAAACCTCAGTAATGAATGGGTTCCCAGTCCTCATTCCTCTAAGGATGAACAGATGTATTCACTTAACTTCATTTGTTAATAAAGTTTACAAATATACTTTCACCCTGAAAGCATGAAAGGGGTTTGGGATGAGAGTAGCAGACAATAAGTTTAATTTTACAATGAACCGTGAATTTTTGTAGTTAATTGAAAAATTTTATTGATGCATGTGCCCTCTAAATGACTTTCACTTTAATGACAATTTCTGTCTCACGGTGGATATTTAAATATTACTAATGCTAAATCTGTTGCTGTGTTATAAATCTATTTTTATATAGAGATGTATTCTATTATTCATTGTTCATCATAAAATTTGTGTAAAAAACAGAGACTCAGAGATCAGCATTAATTTATATCTTCAGTAGCATATACAAGTAAATGAAAAAGTGAATCCCGGGGCTGGGGATTTAGCTCAGTGGCAAAAAGCGCCTGCCTGGCAAGCACAAGGTCATGAGTTCGGTTCCCGGTACTGGAGAAAAACGAAAAAAAAAAAAAAAAAAAAAAGAAAAAAAGAAAAAGTAAATCCCTTTTTTGTGAAGTACTCAGTATATTTGTTTCTTTAGTTTCCATTAATTGAGAAATAAAACTTTGTGTTTTTACAGCATGATATTGGTAGAAAACTTTAAGCATGCAAAGCTGTTTTGTTAAATTTTGGTTTAAAAATACTTTCTCAGCACTTTTTTTTTCTTATTGGAAGTCAGTTTTTGAGGCAGTTTATGTCTTACTGTAGGGTATTTGCATCACCCATTTTACAAGGTTATGCAAAACTGATATCCTACTTGGAACCTTTGGAATAATTCTCTTTTTTTTCCTGGCAAACTCATCTCAGGTAATCAAGAAATGTAGGTCTTTTAAAATGTCAGTTTTCAAGGAAGAATTTGAATGACATTTCAAGCTAGCAGAGTTTATTCTGTCTGCGGCTAAAGAGTACTACATGCATTTAATTCAATGGGAGATTAAAAATCAAAGGAATTTTGATGTTCTTTATTGTTTTTCATCTGCTTTGAGTTTAATATGTCTTCGTGAACAAAGCCATGTTTGTAAAGGATATTAAGCTCTGCTTGGCCTTCTCTTCCACTGAGAGTACTCAGTGGACCTATTGCAGGGTTATGCTCCCTGGACTGATTGATGTATAAACAGAAGACAGATGGTGTAGAGATGGCTCTGATGATAATTCATTTTTCAGCTAGTCATGAAGATATTTTGATTACAGTGTGTTTAAGTAATTATAACACAGTTTGCAATGTTAGTCTTGCTGGGAAGCGAGCACATGGAAAACAAGTTAGGTGTTCTTCGTGCTCAACAAAGGATGCACTGTGGGGTAAAGATTTTAATTCCTAATGCTAGATTAGGACTGAAGGAGTTTAAAATATGTCATACAGTGAGGTTAGTCAATTAAACATAGACCAAGTAAAAAAGGTAACCACACAGCTCTGAGGCATAAATATTTGTTTTGGAAAGTATTTAGCTGTTAGTATATGAAAGAAACCAGTATGTTTTTGCATTTAGGCAACAGTCTGTGCACAGCTAATTAAAAAATTACGTGGCTTGATTTTAAGTTTATGTAAATCGTAATTATCGTGTAACTTGTTTTCCATGTTATGAATTTAAAACTGAAATCAGAGGGTGAACAATTCAGCAGCATGTTATAATCCTGCTGTTGTTGATATTCTACAAAAAAAAGAGAAAAAGCAATAATTACTGCTATGTGAATAGGTGGGTTATTGAAGGTTTCATTTTAACTTACTAATTACAGTTTATCCTGCTGTTTTTTGTTTCACCATAGAATAATTGATCGCTTAGATGGAGTTCGCTTGTTGTGGTCATTGCTGAAAAATCCACACCCAGATGTGAAGGCCAGTGCAGCATGGGCCCTCTGTCCCTGCATCCAAAATGCAAAGGTAGGAGCAGGCTGCAAAACAGCTTGTTTTCAGAATCTCAGATACTGCGTTGAATAATCGAGAAACATCAGTAATTGCTTTGACTTACTGTTGGTCAGATTAATCTGGTGGGAAAGAATGCTCAACAGTGATTATGCCAAAAAGTTTTGAGGAATGCCTTTTTCTGGTCCATTTAAAAATTCCAAACAAAACTAGTCTAAGATGACAGCACTAACTGTTCTACTTGGATAATGCAGTGGAAGCAAGTACCCATAAATCAGGAAGAAGAAAAGTTGCCTTGTGTGATAAGAAAATCTGTGCATCTTTGTGTTTCCAGAGAGGGTGAAAATGTGGGATGCTGGGCTGTTTCCCCTGTGGGGACAGCCTGCAGGGAATGGTCACTAAGTTCGCTCTCACCCGGGTGGCCACATAATTTCACTCAGCAGTGACTAGGTGAGAAGTTTTGATGCCTATTTTAGCTCTTCTTTGTAAATCTTATTATTTTCTTAAAAGACCTTCTTTTCAGCCAGCCTGTTTTCTTATCTTAATATTTTCCTATCAGAGATTTTCCTTGAAGATCCTTGTTGCTGTTAATTCTTTCTGTAGAATGTTTCCATCTGAAGTATTTTAGTTTTATTCAACATATAACATACTTCTATTGAAGTACATCTAATCTCTTGTAAAAAAGGGAGTTGTGATGTGTGGTGAGAGTATAGGAGATCATCCACTACAAGTTCAACCATTTATTATCAAGGCTAAAAAAATTAAAAAGATCTCAAATGTCCATCTATAATATCATGGACAAAATATAATAAAATAGTAGTCTACTCATACAATGCCATGCAATGCAGCAGTAAAAATGAATTTATTTAAGCAGTGTATTAATTAGTATGGATAAATCTCACAAACATTAAAAAGAATAAAAACAAGTTGCAGAAGTAGATAGGTAATATAATTCCTATAAGCTTCAAAGAAATTTTAAATGTAAAGCTTAAACAATATTATTTAGAGAGCAAGAAATAAAAGCTGATTGGGTGAAGATGGATACACATCTTTAAAGCATAAGGATGCTTTGTTCATTTGTTCCTTCACTTATCAGCCCAGCCCTTCATTCATAAATATGAATAACCAAGATTAACAAATATTTGAGAAATACTAATGGTTTTAAAGAGATGAACCAAGATTAATAGCAGAACTAACTTCAGAGGAAAAAGAGGATAATATAAAGAAAAGGATATGCTATGAAATTTTGGAAACTAATATCCTACAGAGAACCTATATCTAAATAGGCTGTTTTAAAAAAAGAAATACTCAGAGGAAGAAAAGTTTTGAAATCAAGAATTATTTGGCAGAATAATAAATTTAGTAAGCAGGATGAATGTTTTTGGTATGGTTAAATAATTATTTCAGAGGTAAAGTCTCGTAAATAAGAATGTAAAGTAAAAGTAAAAAGAACATAGGACATAAAATCACAAAAGAAGGAGAGTAACTGAGGAGAATAAAAAGTTACAACTTTTTTTAATGGCAAATTTTCATTAGGAAGATCACTAAACAAAGACTCTAGTCTTCAGATTAGAAAGATTCACTTAATACCAAACAGAAAAACAGGCAAACTTATATTGATAGACAAATTTAAACTTGGTATTTTCAGAAATTAAAGAAAGGAAAAAATTTACAAAAGAGGGAGAATCACTCTAGCAGTAGATTTAATATCATACACAATAAAATCTGGCAAAGAAGGAATAAAAAGCCTTTTTTTCTCTATTTAAGTGCATGTATAAATTTAGAACAGAAGTCTTTGGGAAAGACTTCTTTCTAAAAGAAATGCCAATATTATTTCCCATGAGCTTTTACTGGATTTTGTTTACATTAGGGTATTTTCTAGGAAAATAAAATATTCTATGAAAACAAATAACATAAGAGAGAAGTGAATACATAATTAAAATTTTAGCTAAACATGAATTTATGTTAATAATATTCTTGACTAAATTATTAAGAAAGAATTCCTCCAAAAGTGGTAGCATAAAATAAAAGCAACATTATTATAATAGCGGTCTGGCTCCAAGCTGCCAAATGATTCATAAAACATGTCAGGCAGTAGGAAGGAATAATCAATAGGTAAAAGTGTGCTAAATGTCTTTCCTTTTCCCAGAAAAAAGTGTTATAGAAAGAACAATTGGCAGAGCTGGGGATTTAGCTCAGCGGCACAGCCCCTGTCTGGCAAGCGTAAGGTCGTGAGTTCGATTCCTGGTACCAGAAAACAAACAAACAAACAAATAAAACAATGGGGCCCTGGTATTCACCATTAATTGCTTCCAGGAAGCGTAGTGGGCGCCAAAAGAGACGGGTGCCAAACAAATTGCTTCGGCAGGGAACGGTAGTGAGTTACAGGCCGTCACCACCAGCAAGTTCTAGTACCAAAAAGTGACCTGTGCCCGGACAAAATTTGCACTTCAAAATGCACCAAATACCAAATTCAAGGAGTTTCTCAGCTGTTAAGTACCAAGATATGACTATAGTTAATTTTCAATATTCGTTGAAATATAAATTTAAATATAGAATTTAGTATCATTGGTGAGATACTATTTTGTATAGATACTGTATTCCTCCTTACGCTGTTATTTTATGTAAATTGTGTCCTATCTCCTTCTGGACTTGAACTCCAAATCTGCCTGTCTCACCGTTTTCCTACTCAGTGTCCCCGTGTGGGCTGTCCACCCTGAATATCGGCTGGCCTCCTGTGCTAATCAAACCTTAGACATGACTGACCTGCTTCTCTCTTTGTCCTTGGCCCCCAAACCCAAACTAGGGCCATCCTCCATAGCGAGTTCCTCTTGATCTGTTTCTCTGCCTCTTCCCACCACCAGCAGCTTAGGGTCCTTCAGTTCTTTTCAGCTTCAGCCATCTTACTTGTCTTGATGGCGAGACAAACTTGTGAAAAATAGACCTCTCATCCAGTTCTCTCACCAATGAGTACACTCTCCTGTGTGCACCTGCTGTTCAAGCAGGATGAGGACTGAAGCATCTTAAACATGGAAGTGACATGAATAATGTGGGTAAGGGGAAAAGATGTATATGGCTGGGTGACTCAGCTACTGCAATAGATGAGCTGCAAAAGAATTATAATTTGCTATAATATAATAGTGGTGGTATGGAGAAATAATTGAAAAGTACAATCCAAAATCGGTGAATGATTAGATGTTGGCAATGAAGAAGTCAAGAAAGCTTTTGATTTTTTGATGTTTAACTTTGACAACTAGGAACATGTTGCAACCTTTTTGAAACAGGAGAATGTGATTTTGGGAAAAAAGTTGTGAATTTGCTTACATCTAGTGGACATGTCCAGTCCTTTGAACATATGGAAGTGGATGTCAGGACAGAGTGCTGGTCTGGTGCTGTACCCATGGGGGTCATGAGCACATGGAGGAGTGGAGGTCTTGAGGACAGATGAAAGGGAGAAGGAGTGGTATGAGAGGAGATCAGCGGTGACAGTCTGAAGTCTGGGAGGAAGCCTGGGCAGTGTGGAACGCCAGGAGACGGCAATTGCAAGAAGCCCTGAAAGAAGCCAGGTCCGCAATGAAAGGGTGTGTTCAGCAGTGCCCCTGGACTGTAAGATGACAAATACATTTGAGAACTGAAAAGAAGAGCTTAGTTTATAAAAATTATGTAGTGTTTGGGCATGGCCATTTCTGTTGAGAGCTGAGAGTTTAAACCAAGTGGCACCGGCATGAAAAATGAATTGAAGGAAGAAAATAGAGAGAATTAATAGAGCTTTCTGTAAACTTAGTGTTTGTTGTTTGTTTTTGTGTTTTTTCTTTTATTTTGAGATCTGGTCTCACTATGTTGCCTAGGCTGCTGATCCTCCTGCCTCACCCTCCCGAATAGCTGGGATTACAGGTGCTGGTCACCGAGTCTGGCTTTAGAAACTTAGCTGTGAAGATAGGAGACTGTATGAAGTCTAGATGACTGCTCTGGTTTCGGGAATGGTTAATATGGGAGAGGAATCAGTGCAGATAGATGAAGAAAGAAGGTATGTAAGGAGGGAGAGAGGGAGAGCAGAGGCAGGGAGGGAGGTGTGGTTCTCCCTGTTCCTTAATCTTACAAGCACATTGCTCTGAGTAGTGTGAGAGCACCAAATATTGTGTTGATGCTTGCACTTACATCTTATATCTTTTTTCTTGGAACACAAAGAAAAAAAAAAGTTTTAGGATGCAAAATTCCTGAAGGTGAGCCCAGGAGGGCGAAACCAAAAAACTGGGGGGAGAAATACTGAAAAGAGCAACTTTTTATTTTATCCAGGCAACAAACTATCAATCACCCTCCCATTGATCCATCTATCTCCTTATCATTGATTTGGAATTCAGAAATGAGAAATTTATCAGAGGGATATGAATTAATATCCTTATGTTAATTTTAAAAATTGAAGTAGACTTTTGCTAGCTGATTACTAATTTGGTTAATTATTTGAACAATAAGGACTGTTTTTTCTAATTAGGTTAAGTGGAAGACATTTCTATGTATTGAATTAACTAAATATACAGAATCAAAATTTTGGTGCTATATATACACAAATTACATCTTTTATGTGACCAGAGTTATGATGAAAACATTTTTAGGTGTCTATCTAAAATGGATGAGGAGGACATACACCTTTTCAGAAATGTATTGTGACATGAAACCAAGAACTTTGAAGACTAGTTTTGGTCTAGTATTTAGTCTAGTATTTCAAGTCTGGCCCTAAAATGGAAGAGATGGAAATTTAATCTTTCCGCAAGAAGTTAGTCTGATTTGCAAGGCCCTGAGCTTTTTGAGAAATCCTGTTTTCCAGAGTCAGAAGCTGGATGTTATATTGGTGCTTGCACTTACATCTTTTACAACCAAACTCATTCTCCCGAGGCAGGAGGACACTTCAGGGGCAGACTGTCAAAGATCTCATGTGCTCTGAAAGGGGCAAGGTAGAATGTACATTTATGGTATTTGAAACAGATAGAATCTCTTTGTTCATACAGACCCTGGTCAAA